ATCCTAAATAGTTAATATTTTAAAGTTTTATTTTAAAAGAAAAAAGATAATTAGTTATGCCAACCATTCACCGCGAGAGCTAAAAGGAGCGGGAAGGCATGGCAGAGCCAAGAATCGCCACAATCCCGTTTTTTGAGGGTTGGAAGTGAGTGAAAAGGTGCTTTGTTTAGGGTGTGTGAAAAATAAGTATTACGGAGTAATAGGTAGGGAAAGGTAGGAATTTAGTGAGTATTAACAGACGCAAAGGAAATTCATCTGAGGTATGTGATGTGTAAGTTTGTGACTCTATTTCCTCAGATTCTTCAACCAAAACCTGTTCTGATCGTTGAATGTTAGACAAGCCTTCTTCCAAATCACCCGGGTTTTTTTCCTTTAAGTGATAAAACTTCATTTTTTCATATACTCTCTGTTCAACAGTACCAACTAATGAAACTAAAGCACCAGTTTTGGGATAACCAATAGCCAAGATAATTCCTACAACAGACAAAAGAAAATACAAATTTTCAAAAACAAAAAAAATTTTATTTTTTTTCTTATCTGAAATTTTTTTTGTTCATGTTCGTTCCAGAAGAAAAAAAGGAGGTGTAAATATAGAAAAAATAAAAAAAATAAAAACTAAACGATTACTAGAGAAGTATTCCCCCTCTCCGCTAAAAATTTCACCAGTAAACAAAAAAGGATAAAGTACATTATTAAAAAGTGCTATAAGGTTAAAAAAAATAAAAAAAATAAAAAATTAAACATCTTTTTTGCTTTTTTATATGTAATTTATAATTTTTTTCAGTCAATGTTGATTCAGAAAAGAATTTTAGTGGCAACAACCACCTTTTAAACCATTAAGAAAGTTCTTAATACTTATATCCTCGTCTAAATCTTCCCAATGAATAGCACAGCCAGCGGGGGAAATTTCATAATTTTTCAATTGTTCGAGGGTAGCATTTCGTAAGCGGGGAAATCAAGCCACAGGCACGATTACACTCCGACTATCACTTAAATGAGCGGTAATTTCTCCCTCGTGGAATTCTAACCCGGAGATGGTTAGGTGATTTTGGGTTTCGATAGGCGACGTTTTGCTGATTTCACTATCTATTTTCTCGTTTCTTAAAGTCATATCATTTTTTTAGGAAAATTTTTCGTTGTTTAGAAATTATTTCTAATATTGTTTTTCATTCGTGGCGAGGAATATTATAACAGTTCTCAATTTCTAAATCCTCGTTTAATCAGACTTTCATTTGTCCGTTCGGGCTTCATACGTGGATATGGGGTGGTTCGTTATTTTCATTAGAATAAAAACGAAATTTATAACTGCCCTCGCGGTGAATGGTTGGCATAACTAATTATCTTTTTTCTTTTAAAATAAAACTTTAAAATATTAACTATTTAGGAT